AATTGAATGTACGGCTTTGTTTTTAAAGCAAAAATCGATATGGAAAAAATAGCCAATTGTAAATTTTTAATAAGTATAAACAGAAACGTTTACTTACTTCATAATTTTTACGAAATTTTCAAATTCTTCTTTGTATTTTTGTTTTAAAACTGTAACTTTGTTGTAACACGTGGAGTGATAACCAACAAAATCGAACGATTCTTTGCTTAATTGAATATCTCCATACTTAAAGTTTTGTTATTTAGGGAAAGCCAATTTTAAATGGCATCTTTTAAATGAATTTTCATCAAAGTCAATAATTTCTTTTTTCGTACCACAAAAAAACACTTTTTACGCATTTTTAAAATCACAATTAATATTATTTAGCACTTGTTATCACTAATAAATTATTTTCGACTATACACGAGCATGCGCACTCGGATACACTCAACGGTCAGGTAGCGTGCAGCTGCTATGTTGTGTCCTGTTCTATCACACGGACCTCGGGCGCTCTACTTTCTCTCTCGCACCTATCAAATAGCTAAAATTCTACAACTTTATAGCTTGGCAATAATATTTTATGTATGATTTTTTGCAGGCAAGGCTATATTATTGGCTTTGTAATTAAAATTGCTTACCTATGATATCAATTTCGATTGCTTAACAGATCGATGTAGTTATCTATATTGACTTACCTGTTCACATCTACTTGACAGGTAGCCATGCACAGAAATAAGTAGGCATTCTGTGTGTTAAAAACTATCCATTGAGATAAAACTCATTCGGTTATGACAAGAGTGAAGGTGATGAAAGGATATTGATTAAAATTAATTAGATTAAAAATAGCTATGAACACTTTTCGGTAGGCAAGTTATCGTAGGCATATTTGTTTATAAATTATATTTGATATAAAATATGTCTCATTGAGTCATCAGATCGGCGAAGGTCGATCTCCCACGGTCTCCTCTCCTGTTATTAATGAAAATTTTTGTGGAAAAACGACAGTAAAGTTAAAGCTGCTATTTCGGAAATCACTACATCTCCTTGTCAGACTTCTACAAGCCCCGAGACTGGGATATCAACCAGCAACCTCCGGGTACAAAGCCAATGGTCTACAGACTGAGCTAAGTTCGCCACGTAAACTATTGTTGCTTTTTCCACTTTTTCAAATGTGACCCCAACAACAATCAAGGGCAGCTATTCTGCTGCTTTTTAAATTTGATCATGTGGTTGTTGTTGGTTTTTTGTTAATACATATTCTATTTTAAGAATATTTAACTTTAGGTGTGCTCGTCCTTAAGTTATTTGTTTTTTGTTGTTTATGGCCTAATTTTACATTGTTTTTTATTTTTTTTTAATAGAAATTTACCAAAAATACAGCACTGAAATTGATGTCGTTTATTACACATATTTAGGGGATTCATAAGACATGTTAAGCGTCGTAAAATCTTAAGCTTAACATTTTTGTATGTAAAAAAGGTATTGAAATGGTTTTAGAGGCTTTCTAAATAAACCGAAATGTTTTTAAACTGATAAAAAATATTTATATAATTGGCCCCTCTTCCTCCTCCTAAAACCATTTTAGCCGTTTTTTACATAAACAAATGTTAAGCTTAAGATTTTACGATGGTTAACACGTCTCGTGAATCCCCTAATTGTGTATGTAATTTTATCTACCCTCTTGCCTAACATTAGGTTTGTTTTTTACATTTTCGGGCAAACGAGAGTAAGTACGAGATTCATGGCCAAGAGAGCACCACATACATTCTTTACGCCAGGGATCAGTTCTGAAGTTTCTAGTGTCTAGGGCTAGGTGAGGTACTGTGATGAGCTGAGGCACGATATACTACCCCTCGCAGTGCTTTATTCAACTAACGGGTGATTTTTTTGAGGTTAGGATTTTCATGCATTAGTATTTGACAGATCACGTGGGATTTCAGACATGGTGTCAAAGAGAAAGATGCTCAGTATGCTTTGACATTTCATCATGAATAGACTTACTAACGAGCAACGCTTGCAAATCATTGAATTTTATTACCAAAATCAGTGTTCGGTTCGCTTTACGTCCGATTTATGGTCTACATAATCGACCAAGTGAGCAAACAATTAATGCGATTGTGACCAAGTTTCGCACTCAGTTTACTTTATTGGACATTAAACCAACCACACGAATGCGTACAGTGCGTACAGAAGAGAATATTGCGTCTGTTTCTGAGAGTGTTGCTGAAGACCGTGAAATGTCGATTCGTCGCCGTTCGCAGCAATTGGGTTTGCGAAACACATTTCGAACCGAACACTGATTTTGGTAATAAAATTCAATGATTTGCAAGCGTTGCTCGTTAGTAAGTCTATTCATGATGAAATGTCAAAGCATACTGAGCATCTTTCTCTTTGACACCATGTCTGAAATCCCACGTGATCTGTCAAATACTAATGCATGAAAATCCTAACCTCAAAAAAATCACCCGTTATATATCTAGCTAAGTACGAAATACTCTCACAAATGTGAATAAACTACCCAAAACCCCGGGAACGCAAAAACCCATTTTCGTACCCGAAACTAAGAACTCAACCAGCCACCGACGTGTCAGCTGACACGACCTATCTTATGTTACGTTCTCATTGAGCCATTAACTCGAGTTTATGAGCAACTGTTAAGTGTTCACATTGGGGTGTTTAAGAAACTCGGAGTTTAATTTGAAATTTTTTTGTTTACTTTTATCCTATTCTCATTTAGTTTGTTCCCGTACTACAGCATTTAACCACACACATAAGTTTAGAATACCAACCGTTTAGCTGTAAAAAAAACAGGAAACGAGGATCAATAGAACTTTCTACGCTGATTTTAACCAAACCAAAATTATTCGGTGCAAATAAAAACCAAAGCCAATAAAAGAGGGTAAAGTTGAACTTTTCTATTTCTTATGTGTTTAATATCTCGGCAACTACTTAACCGATTGAAAAATTATTGATGCTAATCTCAACATAATTTAAATACATTAAAAGTAGTTATTAGAGTTGCGATCAATCAACTTTTCTCGTATAAGATTTCTGTTATACAATTGTTTCGTTCCATTTTTCATTTGTGTGCAAACCAGGGTGTCCAGATTATTTAAAAAGATGAGCCATTTCTGAAGAATCTTTTATTTTAAAAATGAGATCTTTTTATATCATAGTCTTTAAAACCAAATCGAATATAATGCCTTAGGGTAATAATAAATAACGCAAATAACTTATATGAGAGTGATGTACAAACATTTTTTTTTAAATATTCATACTTTTAAAAAATATTTGTATCAACACATTTCCCAGTAGGACTGTGCAATTAATAAATTTATTATAACTGATAATTGATTAATCCGCTTTTAAGCGCTCGGCGCTAAAAATAAAATAAAAGCTATAATAAGGCGAGATCAGCTATTTCCACAAATGAAATTGCAAAATTTCCCATTCAGCGGGAGTTGCCACAAATGGTGGTTTAATATTGGCAAATGTGCGAAAAGCTACAACAAAATCGGTAACAATAAAAAGTATCGCCACATTAAAATTAAAGCTCTAACTCCATAACCTACTTATCACGTGTTTCGCCAAAGGCGATTTCCTAGATTTTTACGCGCAAATATAAAAGCCACATTGGCGCTAAATCGTCCAATCTGGACACTCTGGTGCAAACCAGTGAAGCCAACTCGTGGGGAATTACCCGTTTTGCGGGTAATCTCAGTTTGTGTGGGGAATCGGGGAAATAACCGTTTTTTGTGGGGAATTTCAGTTTACATGGGGGGCGGGGAACGAACTGTTTTTTGTGAGGAATTAGGTGTAAATAATTTTTATTTTTTGCTTCACAAATTTAATGATTTAAACAAAAATATAAGTTGAAATGTCTCACCAGTCACCGTGGAATGAGCCATATCGCTAGCTTAGAAAGAAAAGTTGCTAAGTCCCATTTTAAAAATATTACAGGAGAGGAAAAAATCTTCCTATAGCCATTTTCTTTAACTATTTCTTAAGACTTTAAATCAAACATTTTGCGCGTTTATAGCAAAGCAAAAGTCCATAAGAATCAGAAGGATTCGATATTTATTAAAAGATGTCGTATTATTTTGGCCTTATCGGATTTGTGGTGCTTCTTTGGGACTTAGCAAATTTTCCTTTTATTGCTTATGAAGAGGAAAAAATAAAATAAGTACCTTTATAATTTTCGAAACGATGCGTATTCAATTTCCCTAGCCTCCTATATCAAAATATGAGTTTTCATAAAAAGTGGACTTAGCAACTTTTCACTCTAAGCTAGCGATATGCAGTTTTTTAGCTCGTTCAATTCTTGTATAATAAAGTTTCAAATGGCTAAAATGGCTTTCATATAACGAATAAACACAATTTATTTTATGTGGAAGAAAACCGCAACACCTTCGGCAAAAAAATTCTAATACGACAATTTTTAGGTTCTTGAAACTTCCACTTTTTATACTAGAATTGAGTGGGCTATAAAAATGGATACTCAAAATTTTTCTAGAAAATCTAATTAAAAAGCTCGAAATTTTTACGAAAGTTTGTTGATTTTTTTTTAATATTGCACAAAGTTTGATCCGCTTAAATCATTTTGTCAAAGAATGAACTATATTTTTATAAAAATAAGTCAAATTAAATAACAAAAAAATAATAATTGTGAACCGCGTATGTACATATGTAAATATTATATGAATATTTTTTTTTTATTCTTTATTTGTTAACAAACTTAATAAAAGTTTGGTGTGGTTTATGAATAAATAGATGAATTATACACATTTAAAAATAAAGTAAACAGAAATACCAGCAATGCATCAAAATACATCAATTTTTTTTAATAAGGAGATATCTATGGGTGGGGAATTTTACGAAATTTGGGCAAAATCGAGAAATTTCATTATCGAAATCGGGGAATTCTCAAAAATGATTTGGCTACCCTGATGCAAACACAAACTGTTTTGTTGAATGGCAGAACGATTGCGAGTAAGTAAGGAATTGTCTTTGTAAGTACCCACCCGTGCTGTGTGATATCGAATATGCAGTCCCGTGCTACCGGTCCCCTCATTTAAATGGATGCCTCCGACTGAGCTAGCATCATCTTCGGGAAAACTAGTCTGCTTATATCGAGCCATCTGAAATGATAAATATTTATTTAAGTGTTAGAGATATTTAAGTGTACATCTTTATCCCTATCCTATCTCCCTATATCTTATAAAATAAAACCTAAAAATATGTATATTCGTCCCTAAATATATCTTATAAAATAAACCTTAAAAATATGTACATTCCCTCTCAGATAAGCTAAACCTGAACCGATTTTGTTTCGGTTTTCGCAAGCCTCCTCTCCAACGTAAGCCTCTTTTATAGGTCGTGACAATAAGCCAAGCCCCTCAGAAATAGACTAATTTTATCTTCTAACGGAAATATATTTAAAACTACTGCATCAATTTAAAAAGCAAAAAAAAACTAAGTAATAAATTGAACATTTCTTTAATGAACTGCAAGTTTTTGCTTTGTTCTTTTTAATATTTATACGTAAAAAATTAATACTTAGAACCGTTTTTACATTTTTTATTCCATTTTATGCACGGTTTTTTATTACCCTCGCCTGCTCGCGAGAAGCTGAAGCACAAATCAGAAAATAAGAAAATGATTGGATCGAAAAATATGTACATATCGAGCCCTAACCGCCAAAACAAAATAATGTATTAAAAAAAAATGTCGCTTACTTTATTTTGGCGTTAGGGCTCGATATATATATTAGACTGCAACACCAACAAAAGTTGCGGTTAGCTGGACCGATTTGAAAATACCTCCAAAATTAGAGTTTTTTAAGAATAAAAATAGTTAAAGATTTTTTTTTTAAATCCCCTCAGATGACAAAACAGATTAGCTTAAACAAGTAAAGATGTATAAGTTCGGGCGAAGCCGATCTTTATATACCCGGCGCAGGTATCAAATATCGTCGTTTCAACTTTCTATAACGGCCTCATTTTCGTTGTAGGTATTTCCGACAGGGTAGGAGTGTGATGTAATGTTTAACAATTTTCCGTCATCCCTTGTCAAATTTGGTTTGGAGACAAACCGATTTCAGAACGAAAATTAACATGATATCAATGGAAGGGCTATCTAACGCTTTCTTTTGTGTTTATAAAGTATAAATATGTCATAACGTTATCGAAAATATATATTTCGAACATTTTCTCAAAAACTGGTCAGTCGATTTTATTCTAAGTTACCATAAATCTAGCCCAAAACCTTAGCTTTCATCTGGTATATAGCTTGTATCTGGGAAAACTCTTGTTGTGGAGATATTGCGATTCTAATTTAAAAAAATGTTGCTCCAAAAAGGGTCAAAAGGTTAAAAATTAACATATTCGTCTGGTTACTTTAAGATATAAAAATAACATAGCCAGTTCCCCGAAAAAATTGTCCATTCCCCGAATGCCAGTGAAACCGAAATTGCCCTGCAAATCGGGGAATTTCCCGCGAGTTGACAAGTTGAAGGACGCAGCTGTGCTAACCACTTCGTACGTGTCTTGGAAACCATAATTTGTGTGTATTTTAGAGTTTTTTTCAGTCACATACCGAAATTATAACATTTTTCCCCATTTTAATTGCAGGTATGTACACATGCTAGCTACATGGGTTTATCACCCGCACTTGACCTACCTGGGAAGACGCATACAATATTACCTATAGTTGTACAGTTGTTTCTTGTACCCAAAGTTGGTACCAAGTTGATAAGTTTATATCATTTCTCATAATTTAATTTTTTGTTTTTTATTTTTTCGAATATAAAGGATATGATCATTCTTTTTCGCTTTATTTCGTATTCGAAAAATTATATGTTTCAAGGGACCCATCGATTTGAATACATAATTTAGATTTAGATAATATTTTTAGCAATTTATTTGAGAAAAATATAACATTTAGATAATTGTATGTATTTTCGTCGATTTTAAATTTGCTATCCCAAAATAACTGATATCAAATAAAACACCACTTTGAGGTAAAATTTTCGAGTGACGAAAGCAGAACTCGAAACACAAAATTTATGATATCAATTTCGTGACGAAAATTATACGCATTTTTTAACTGCCTTTGAAACGTACGGAAAATCTTTTTTTATTTATTCGGAACGTTGTGAAATTCCGTCTACTGCTAGAAACACAAAATAAAAAACAGGATTTTTGCAACGATTCGTATGAATAAAAGAGGTTTTCCCTACGTTTCCAAGGCAGTTAAAAAATGCGTATAATTTTCGTCACGAAATTGATATCATAAATTTTGTGTTTCTAGTTCAACTTTCTTCACTCGAAAAGTTTAACTCAAATATGTGTTTTATTTGATATATTTTACGAAAGCAACAGATAAAATTAGTTGAGAGAACTTTCTTTTATATATATTATAGAGGACCCTGAATGACGGCAAAGTTCAAAGCTTTACAAATTTGTTGATGTGATTTTTGAAATGAAATTAGCCGGTATGGACATTTTAAAATTTTTATAATCAGTGGTTGAATTTTTGTGCATAAAGGGTTATGAAAACTTTAGTTTAAAAGTTTTATATTAAATGCCTTTCGCCATAAACGGCGCGACAGGTATTGTGAAAGGTTGGACTAAACCTTAAAGATGACTGTTTTCTCACGGCCCACTGTACGAAGCTTTGAGTAGAGTAAGGTCATTTAAGAACTTAAAAATTATCCTGGGTTATCAGGTCTCAAGCAATACGAGATTAATTATTGTCTTTCACGAAGTTCTTTAAATATATCTTGAGCTAAACACTTAAGTATATTTATGAATATCACGTTTTATTATATACTTAAATTTAAATTCTTAATATTATTAAGTATTTTTTTACTGCATTCACCCGAATTTCGGGGGTTACTACTAGTTTTAATAAATTATCAGTTTAATTTCTTGTAAAATTTACTTTTAGGTTTATGTATCTTAAGCATACAGCTTTCAGACATTATATCGAACTACTAATTTATACAATAATTACTAACAGTGAAACAATTTCATTCTTCACATTAAAATTTAAAGTATGTATACTATTTCTAGTAAAAGTTTTTATTCATATTTAAATTGCTCTGCCTTTGATTTTTAGTAATTTGATGTGGGGTTCTACAAAATGAAATATGGTTAGTAAGGGTTCCATCATCTTAAAAGTTTAAGAGAAGAAATGTTTAAGAGAATCAGTGTGAAATAATTGTAGAAACGATTAACCAGGTTTGCTGAGCAACCGAGAAACACAGGTTTACAAAAAAAAAGTTTCTGCATATTGAACCAAACGTCAATATCCCCATGTTATTCGACGCTCTGAATGCGAATCCGACGTATGTTAGCCCCATCGTGCCAGGTGCGAGGTCATTGGAAGGTCAAGTAGGGAAAAACTAATTGAATAAACCTAAAAATTCATATATATATGGGGTTTTAAACTCACTGAACCTCTATAATGTCAGGTTCGATGTAATTTGAGGGCCAAATAAGACAAAAAATTTATTCAATAAAAATAAAAACAAAATTGTGTTTTTGTTGTCGCTGAATCTGAATATAGGGGTCCCTTGATTCTTTAATCTACAGGTCACGCCAAGGTCATATTCAGAAGAATTGTATTGAATTTTCAGGTTTATTCATTAACTTTTTCCCTACTTGACCTTCAAATGACCTCGAACCTGACGTGATGGAGGCTAATAGACCTCGGATTCGCATACAGGGTGTCGAATAACATAGGGATGTAAAGGTTTGGTTCAATATGTATAAGCTTTTTTTTGTAAACCTGTGTAATTTTTGTGAAACAAATCGACAAGTACATATTGTCTCTCACATGCCAGAAACATGAATTTGTAAAAATGAAAATTTTTGGGAAATCAAGTTTGAAAATTTTTTTTACGAGGCTTAACTCTGCATTCATGTAATTGACATTGTGAAATATGTGTTTTCCGTGTACGCATTTTATTCTGGGGTTTGGTATAACATAGAAAATCCAAAGGTTAATCAAGTCAACCCAATAACTCAAAATTGGTAAATTTGCACATTCATGCTTCTGGAATACGGGTGACGATATATATTTACTTCACATTTATTAATTTTTATACGCTTGTTCTACATATTTTTGTAGTATGAAAATAGTAGTTATATTTCGACACCTGAGTGGAAGATCGACCTATATCGGCAGCCAGTTAGAAAATGTCCTAACTCAGAAAACTTTTCAAGAACGCCCTATTTCAAAATTTTTTTGAAAAAGGCCTAGAATTTGGTTTAAGAACGGTCTATTTCAGAGTTCGGTTGAAAAACGCCCTATCTCAAATGGAAATATATTGAAAATGTCCTGAGATAGGACGTTTTCAAACCGAATTTTGAGATAGGGCGTTGTTCAATAAAATTCTGAGATATGGAATTCTTTAACCACATTCTGAAATTAGGCGTTCTTGAAAAAGTTTTCTGAAATATACCGTTTTGGAACAGGCTGCCGAAATAGGTCGAGCTTCCACTCAGGTGTCGATTTCCTGTTAATATTCTTTTAATAATAATAATAATAATAGATTGGCGCTTACACATATGTTAGTGTTTGGCGAGCTTCTCCTCTGATTTGTGGCGTGCGCCTTGATATTGTCACACAAAGCGGAGGGACCTACAGTTTTACGCCGACTCCGAACGGCGATTGTATTTTTATGAGCAGCTGTTTTTCATGGCAGAAATACACTCGGAGGTTTGCCATTGCCTGCCGAGGGACGACTGCTGTTAAGAAAAGACCTTTTTTCCTATATTTTTTTTGCGATGTTGCTTTGACCAGGGCTTGAACCCAGGTGCTGTGGAGTGGAAGCTCGCACTGCTTACCACTTTTATTTCTGTTTAATTCGATCACGGATGCCATGATTCGGGCTCAGTTTAATGTATGTACGTATATATATATACGTTTTTTGTTGAATGTTTTATTGGCTTGATATCATGGCGCAATAAACAGGTGAAGTAATAAGGCAGCATTCTCTGTTCATTTTCTGACATTCGGCTGAATTATATTTCACAATGTTACCTTTATTCGTTGAACGTTTTATGTGTCTTTGGAAGTATTTACATATATTTTGGGGCCAATTTGGCCATTTATTGTTTGTTTGCAACATTTT